CTCTGGTCATTTTGCTAAGACCTGAGTCTCTTTTATAGCGGCCTTGCAGCAGAGGTAGAGAGGACTCCACCCCTGTCACCTAAGCTCAGGAAGATCATGGTTAGCACATGGACCTCTTTCTCCAGGGTTCTGGATCCTCAATTCTTTCAGCTCTGGAGTTGCCCAGAAAAGTTGCTGCTTGGTCATGTGAGTTACCAGTCTGCTGTATGGGTGGGTAGATGGTGAGGGCCTGTCTTAGTTTTATTCTGCTATAACAGAACACCTAAGGCTTGATAATTTATAAAGAAGGGAAATTTATTCTCTCACAAGTCTGGAGGCTAAAAGTCCAAGGTTTGGACATTCTTACTATGTCTTCAGATAGTGGAAGGCAGAAGAGCAAGAGAGAAACTCTGCATCCTCAAATAGCAAAAGAGGAAAGAGAACCCACTCATGCAAGCTGATTTTATAGCAGTGTTAATGCAGTCATAAAGGCAAAGTCCTCACAACCTAAGTACTTGCATTAGGCCCCATCTCCAGCAAATGAATTGTGGGAGACATATTCAAACCATTACAGGGGCTAACAGAACCAGGTTCTGGATGTTGTTGATCTTCCACCATCAATGCTATAAAAATCAATTCACAATCTGATTGCCTTGGTCCCCAAGACAAGGGCAGAGCTTGCAGTATGGGTTTTGTTCAAACAAGAGATACCACTTTGCTCCTGAGTTGTAGGAGCATATACCTTTGCAAGCTCTGTTTACTAGGGGGTCACCTTTACTTTGGGGACTGGGCTGATTCAGACATGAGATGCCCTGAGCCAAGCAGACATAGAGCTAAGTCATCACAAAACCACAAAAATGTGCCATATCCCAGGCCCTTGTGGGAGTCTGGGCAAGGTGGGTGCTATAGGGGTGGGTGAGGTCTTGTCTGCTGGGTAACTTCATTTTTGCTCCAATTATTTTGAAGCTACTTCACTGGGTTCTGAGTCAGCCCCTTCTGCTTCCACCCCAGGTGATCTGGTCAGACCCAAATGCACACATCTGCTTTCTCCAAGACTATCCCAATCAGTGCTTTCAGGGAGGAAGGTCTTTATCTCCTCCCTGCAAAATGATCCCCAAAAGAGAAAGGGCAATGGAGGGAATGGCAACATGCTTTAACCTGCAAAGGGGACAGTGGTCCTCCTCCAGGTAAGTCTGTCCAGGACAGTCCAGCCCACCAGCTGGAGGACCTAGGGCTGCTGAAGATTGTAGCAGAGAACCAAAGGCAGACCAGACCCACCCAGAGAGGGAGTGTGGCTTGGTGAGTCCCTCCACATCCTGTCTGGGTGCACCTGTCTGAGTGTCAAGGGGATGGATTTAGACATTCTTGTCAAACTGACACAGCAAACCCCTAAAACCTTACCTCATTCCAGCCAGAATTCCAGCCCCACCAGCATCTATCAGGCTGCCATAACCATGAAGAATGGTCTGGAGACATGAAGAACTCCTCAAATGGCATCGTATGGTGAAAAATAAAAATAAAAACAAAGTTAAAGCATAGGGTTAACTCAACCATTTTGTAAGATGAGTACCAAATCAAGTCTTTAACTTATTTCTGGTCCATCTTTCTCACAATGGAAGAAGAAATCTAAGACATTATATAATGTCAGGCACGAAAAATACAACTTGCTGTTAAATCATGTCTCTGCCTTTTGTGTATGACCTTACTTTGTTCCCAGCAATCTAAACTTTTTTATTAATTGGTGAGACTGTCTTTTAATTTGTTACTTAAAAATATGCTTGAGTAAGCCTTTCACATTTTAATTCTGAGACAATTATCAATACTTTTAAGTCCCCGTTTATTCTTTTTTTAATGAGTGTTCCTTTTTCCCCCACATCTTTTTTTAAATTTTTAATTCATTTATTCACATGTGCATACATTGTTTGGGCCATTTCTCCCCTGCCCCCCGCCCCTCCTCCCCCCCCCCGGCTTCCAGGCAGAACCTGTTCTGCTCTTATCTCTAATTTTGTTGAAAAGAAGACATAAGCAATAATAAGAAAGACAAAGCGTTTTTTGCTAGTTGAGATTCTAGCATTGCTTCCATGTACAAATGTGTTACAACCCAAGTTTGATTCATCTCTACCTGACCTTTTCACTAGTTCCTGACCCACTTCCCATATTGACCTCTGTCACTTTAAGGTTTCTGTTAGTTCCTCTGCAGTGGGGACCCATTTATCTTCTAAAAATCAGAAGTATACTGAATATTGCAAGTAGTTCTCTGATGTTAGTGTGTTAACTTACAGAAGAGCAGATTTAGTGGGTCTGGGTTACAAACCCAAGTTTCTACATTTTTGCAAGAGAAACACTGATATATAAAATCTTTAAATAGTTTTAATGTTGAATTTAAGGAAACAATCTCTCTCTCATTAGATTCCTTCTGGAATTGCAAATCATAGTTCTAGAGAAATTCCCACTCTTTACTGACACAAACAGAAACTCAGAGTTCATGATGTCATAATTTAAAAATTATTACCCACTATATGTATTTTTAGCATTAAGAAGATCAATACAACAAAATCAAGATTTATAAAGGTAGTTTAATGGATAAATCATAGTATTTGTTATGTATATATGTAGTACTTTAATATTTTGCAAAGTACTTTTGCGTGTTTCTTGTTGATACAGATTAGTTTAGATGGGGAATGCCCAACTTTGAGCCTCAGCTTTATTTTCATGTTTAATTTATACAAGTCAGCTGAATGGATAAGGGAAACCTGCAAGAAGTCCCCCTACCCCAGAAAGAACTCACCCTAAGACAAGTTAGGTAATTAAAATTACAGTTATCCTTGGATATTTGGGAGGAGGGTTTCAATTCCGAATACACAGCATTATGTCCATCTCACAAATTTGCCTTGAACTCATGTTTGAGTCCCAAGGAGAAAAGAGAGGCTTTAAGTAAAAAACAATGTAAAAAGCTATTTTGCTAAGCATTCTTTTAAACCATTGAGGTCTAAGCAGCATTGGGATGATATACACCTGGGTGAGTTTCACATTAAGATTACAAGAGGAGACACAGTGCTGTGACTCACCAGTGACTGCAGAGCAACCAGTGTGGCTTTGCACCTTGAGAACATCAGCAGCACTAGGAGTCAGTGGAATGAGCAGGACTCTGGGGAATAGGGCAGCTGTACCTGGCAGGTATTGCAGTATCCAAGAATATAGCAGGGCAGGGGTAGAATATGGCACTCACCTAGAATCTCACGGGAATTGTTGGCGTGCAGGAGTGAGACTTCCTTTGGCTACTATGTCCTGTGTTTGAAGGGAATCTGTAGGGGCTGGGGTCCTATGTGTGCAGATGGGGAAAGAAAAAATAGACACAGCTCACACCATCTTTATCTCATTTGGTTCCACAGCAGCACAGTAAGGCAGGTCTTATTCCTATTTAAATGGGAAAATTTGACTCAATTACAATAAATATGTGGCTTACATTTCTGCCCATGAGATTCAGAAGAAACATAGGATTAACATTTCTTTAAGTTCAGACAAATATTTATTAAGGGTCATGTTTTCTTTATATGCAGATTAACAGTTTTTTTTCAGAATTGCTTCACATTTTTCATTATATTGTTTCTTTTGCAACATAAGTAGAATGTGTTTGTCTTGCAAAATGAGAATTCAGATAAAGCGAAAATAAAGAAAATAAAAATCACCTATTATCTTACTACAAGCCAATGTCAAGCCTCTTAAGTATATACTTTTAGTTTTTCTTTGCATATTAATATATAAATATACATTTTTTACAAAAAGGGGATGCTATATATACCTTTTGAAAATTGATGCTTCACTTCACAATATATAATGTACATCTTTCCATGCAAATGGGCAGGACTTGGATTTTAAGAAGTTTGAAAAACATTTTTATGTCAGTTACAAGTCAAAAACCTAAAACAAAGTTGCACAAAAAGTTAAAAATAAGAAGATGGGAAAAGTCATGTAAGAAAATGCAAACAGAGTGTCCAGGTGACAATCTATTATCAGACCCAGGTGACAATCTATTATCAGACAAAACAGAATGAAGGACAGAACATATTAAATAGGATAAGGACGGCTCCGTTTTGCCTTCCAATGCATTATCATTAGTTTATTTCTTACTCTTTTCATCTCTTCCATCTCATCTGCTGCCTGTATCATTTCCTCATTGCTTAAATTTCTGCCATGTATGTCGCCTCTAAATTTCGGGCGAGAACGAGCCAGCCTTTCTTTGAAACTTCCCTCTTCCAGCTTGTGTTTGCCCACGCCACAAGGAGGCTGCTCCATGGGAGGGCGCTCCTCGCACAGGTCCTTCCAGGAGAGGCGCTCCTGCGGGGGGCGCGCCTCTGACAGCAGCATCTCTGGCAGCAGCTCTGGCAGCAGCTCTTCTGGGAAGAACTCCTCCTCCGAGGACTGCTCCTCCTCCGAACACTGCTTTTCGGGAGACTGCTCCACCCGAGGCTGCTCATCATCTGCCTTTGGAGCGTCCTGCGGCTGTTCTTTATTTTCATCGCATGGTTTTTCCATGTTGGGAATTTTCTTCTTCAAGCACAATTATTCTTAGGAGACAAGAAAAGGCAGAGGAGAGTCACAATACTTGGGTGCTGGAACAGCAACACGTCGGTCACGGGTTCCAATGCCAGTCTTTTCCTGATTCAGGGCCTTAACCTTGTGCTTACCCACAAGCGCTCTGGCTCGCTTACCCCTCCTTCCCGAAAGCCCACCATTTTCCCAGCAGGCCTTGCCACAGGCTTCTCCAGCAGTGACAGACCGCAGACTCTGTTCCACTCCGCGTCCTCCATTGCACCCAATTCTGGCCCACTGCCACCTCTTTCCGACCTGGACCTTTCCTGAGGGTGTGCACCTGGTCGTCCTTCCTGGAGATGCCCGCTGAGACTTAACAGATTGTACATAGAAGCAAGACAGGGTAGGGGGCGGAGAGAGGGGAGGAGGACGACTGACTGACGTAAATCCCTTTTCTGGGCACCAGCCGCCGGCCTGACAGACTCCCCTCAGACCCACGTTTAAGCCTTGTCCTTTGTGCCCCCACTTGCCCACCCTGCAAAGCTCGTCATTTCTTTTCAAGCAGGAAGTTAGAACTATTCCCGAGTCTGTACCTCCCTGCCAGAGGGGCTTCACTCACCTTCCCATCCCACGCCATCCCCACCACCATTTTCTGCACCGAAATTGCGGAGCGCGGGGGGGCGGGGCTGGTGCCTACCGAGAGGCTTGGACTCTGCCACTTGGATCTGATCCCAGGGGTTACAAGGCCGCACAGAAAATCACACAGATTTCAAAGGGATCTAGGGAACTTACTTCCTTCTGCTTTCCCTGTCGACCAGGGAATTGGTGTCTGGACAGGCAAAAAGGACCAGGACAAGAGGGACTTGTGCAGACGTAGGCTCCTGATCACGTGAGGGTTGCACGTCACTGCCAAGCTCAGATCCCCAGTTACCACTTTGGAGAAGGTTCTGCAGCAACCTGCCAGAATCTCCTGACTCCAGACACAGCAGGCCTTGTCACTCACCCCTTTTTGTTTATATTTGACTTTTCCTGGTTGCCAGAGAAGATTAGCATCTGATTCCTGAGGGGTTATTACCTCTCTCCCTGCACCCTCCCTGCCTTAGCTACTAAGGCCTCAAATTTCCCTTGCCCTTCAGATTACACACTGAAATTTAACTGTTTTACCTTCATGAATCAATATTATAGGCTCATATCCACAACTCATCAGGTCCATTTAAACTCTATCAGCATGTGTTCATCTCTTGTCGCCTCCATGGGAGACAATCTTTCATTTTTCCTTGACGGCACTATTTTGTGTTTTTGAGCTCCCACACCTACATCACAAACAGAAACTCTAGTCTAAATTGGTAGTCAATCAGTTCTAGACCTCTAGAAAGAGTTAAGTTTGTAACGTACTTAAATCTAAAAAGACTCAAAACTTTGATTTTTCATATATCAAAATATACATTTTTCCATCTAGGTACAAAAATCCAAAAAACTTATTTATTATCTGGAATGAGAGAGTTCTTGATGAAGAGCAGAGCGTTTTTTCTCTCTCTCTCTGTCTTTCTGTCTGTCTGTCTCTCTCTATATGTATATGTACACATATTTATATATTTATATATCTACATATACACTCAGGCATATATACTGAACAGTTTCTATACGTATATATAAAATTTTTAAGTTATTACAATAGAAGAAATAGATTTTACAGGGACGCTAAATCCTTAATCAACCACTTCCCAACCTTTCTGGTTGAGAAAGTTTATATTAATTCATTAAATCATGAATGAATTTATTAAATTTGAGTCCTAGAGCTGCTGAACTTGAAAGATAGACGCAGCGGAGAGGACACTCAGTATTCAGTTATGCAAAAGTTCTGTTGGTCATATACTGAGTAGCAGGGTTAAAATCATGCGTACATACTTAGTTTGACATTGCAAGTCGTATATATTTTTAGATCTACACATGCTACACCTCATCTGTTCAGAATGTATGGGTGCTACTTTCTCATGCAGATACCCTTTCTTTCAGAGAGCAGACTACTTCTCCTCTCTGCTTTACACTTTCAAGATAAGTGGCTTTCAAATCTGTAGGACTCTTGTTTGTTTTTCCAAATCTAAGCTGTTTGGTAAATTCGTATGTGAAATTTCCCATTTTATGAAATTTGTGTTGCTTTACTCGAGTCAGATTTACATTGTGCAACAATAGCAGCTAGACAGATATTAGTTTACTTTTATAACCTTTTTGTAATTGTTTTAATTTTCCAATATAATTATGCTTTCTTTATTCTTTCACAAGAATTTGCTCCTCATTTGATAGTTTCTTTCTTAGAGAAATCCAATTTTTTTAACTTTTTCATTTCTATCCATTTTCCCTTACATCTGTGATGGACAACTCACAGCCTTATAAGGCACTCCATTGAAACGTTTTAGATAATTCTAATCATTCAGAGTTTTTAGATTAATTAATTTGTGGTTCTCTTAGTTGAAATCTGACTCCCAATTGTTTATACAATTAGGTCCTGACTCTCCCTCCTGGAGTGTACAAAAAAAAGGATAAAATATTACCATTGATACCTTGAAACTGTCAGGGTTTTTGTTTGTCTCTTTCTCTTTCCCATCTGTGACTTACACTGGGAAATCTGCTTAGTCTTTTTGTGACTCAGCTTCCTCATCTACAAATTGGAGATAATAATTAGTAACGTACCCCCATAGAACTGGTAAGAGAAATAAAGGAGTCCAATGAGCCAATGTATATAGATGAACTTGGCATAAGTGCCAGCACATAGAAACTGTTAGTATTAACTAAAATAGTAGCAAAAGTAATGATCACATATGACATAGCACTAACAATACTACTAGGTATTATTCTTTTATTGTAAGTATTGTGACCAGAGGGAATCCTAAATAAACCCTCTAGTTTCACTTGCTTTTAGTTGACTTTAAAAGACACTGATTTTGGAGGTTATATAGTTGAGCAATGTTTTACTCTCCCTCTAGCTTTGCTGTAGATGGCACTTCTAATGTGTGGGTTATGCTGATAATGGTTGCCTAGGTTACTTTTCAGTGACTTGGAGGCTACTTTTAATGAAAGCACTCACTCTTTACTTTGGCCTACAGATGTCCAGTAGTGAATCAAACAGGGTGGAAAAGCTTAGCCTCTCTGCTTTCATGTTTGTATTTGTCTCATTTGCTATCTTAATCTTTGGGCCAACTCTGCAGACATGTTAGCCATTTAAGGAATGTATTTTCAGAACTGGCAGTGCAAATTGATGCACTGAAACCTCTCCAAATCTCCTTCTCAGAATGATGATGACACGAAGGCAACCAAAATGTTTTCAAGGTTCACAGGGCATTATAATCCTGTGCTTATGTGTAATACCAGCTGCCAGGTTCTCACAATGCCCATTTCAGACCACTGGGAGCAATGTCCTCAGAGTCCTTTAATATCAATTCTTTCTCCATCTGAGCCCCTACTTCTTTCCCCCTTGCCTAAGGATAAAGGAAGTTTGAAACTTAGAGTAGTTAAAGATGTCTCCCCACCCCCACCTCATTTTGGTGGCATTACAAATAAAACTTTTTCCTTGTCCCAACAAATTATCCTTGATTTGTTGGGCCTCTTTCCTAGCCATGAGTAAATGAACTTGGGTTCAGTAACAATACTAATTGAGCTATTGTCAATACGTTACCTCATTTAATTCTTAAACAATTATGTTCCATCAAGTTATTTTTTTTTAGGTTTAACTTCCTCAGTTACTTCAGCTATTTCTGATGTGACCATATATATTCAAGGACCTTCTCGATTCTACATGTTCCTGAGTTTGTAAATGTTTCAGAAAGCACTGCATATTCTGCCTAGTATATAATAGAGTGATATATCACCCCCTTCATTCTAGAATAGACATTTTACATATATAGATGCATTCTAAGGTTATAGTAGATTTTGTGAATGCTTTATCAAACAATTGAGTCCTGTTTAAATTATAGTGGACTGAGACCCATCCCCAATGTATTTCATAATCCAGCTGTTAATGCACTCTTGTAAGTCATTTTAATCACAATCCAAGGTTTCTGTTTTTCTGGATTAAATGTTATCTTGTTAGATTCACTTCTTCATTTTTTTGTATTCATATTCTGTTATTAGTATATAAGCTATAAAGTATTAATTTAAAGTGTTCCAATTAGTACTAAATGAATGATAAAGGTGGCAAGCTCAGGAAATATGTAGTGGAATCTCTCTGAGAAAAAAATTCCTTTTCTACTGTGTGTGGCAGTCCAGGAATATGCCCTGCTAGGCTGGCTTTCCTCCTCTGATCTCTTTGGTCAGTTACCCAGAGTGGGAGCTTTCTAGTGCTGCTGATAGACAACATAATTGTCTTGAAAACTCCCAACCCAATATAAATGTACCCTTAATTGGAACTTGGTAAAAATAGAGGGTACAGATAAGGGAATTGTGAAAAAAGAGAAGTGGGAAAGAAGGAATGAAGGCAGACTCTATGTAGGCTCTAAGTCTCTGCCCCCAGTAGCTGATTTGGGGTATTTTTGAGAAAAAGGGCTCTCAAAAGACAACAAGGCAAAGGTGATTCTGCCATAGTGACAATCATTGTTTACAAGGAATGTGGTCCACTACTTGCTTGTATTGGGTTGGAGTCTGAGTGGGGGCTGTAAAACAATCCTCAATCCTTCTGATGGGTTTGATTTGATATTGGTAACTTAGAGCCTGTAAGGATATATTGCTAGGCTCACAATTGCTAGTGGAACCCATTTTACTTTTTTTGGGGTGATACTGGGGTTTGAACTCAAAGCTTTGTGTTTTTGCCTAGGCAAGCATTCTACCACTTGCATCCAGACTCCCACACCCAGGAACCCCCCATTTTAAAGGTGAGATCTAGGAGGATAAAAAAATTGGTTTGCATGGAAAATGCACTGATAGTAACTAGCCAAAATGTGATGTAAAACCAGGGCAGGGCTAGAAACAAAGCTCAGCGACAAGGCATTGCCTACAATGTGTGAGGTACTAGTTAATGCCCCAGCACTGCAAAAACCAACCAACCAACCAACCAACCAAACAAACAATTTAAACAGAAAACTTTAAGCAGTTTGACAGTACAGTTGTGCATTAACACTTTCTAAAACTGCTTCTGGTCAGATCCAGCCATGTTTCCAATAGCCAGGTTGAAGCGGCACAGACCATTTTGGTGCAGGAAAGCAGGAGCTGAAGGTATCAGAAGGGCAGACAGGGCAAGGGCATGCAGAAAGGGAAGAGCAATCAGTTCTTGGCAGCTGT